TACACAAAAAATTTTTTTTTTTTTTTTTTTTTTGCATGAAGGCATATGTGTGTTTACTTGGTGATTTTCTTTTTCACCGTCCTAATTTTTAATTTTAAAAAATCGGTTATCACGGTTTACCATGTAAAACCATCTTGATTTGTATCATATAATTTTGGCTGATAATTAAAACTCTGTTTGTGATTGTGAGTGATCAAGTGGGAGGTGAGATTCACGCGCTATGGATGAGCGTGAGGGTGAAAGCCAGAAATGCAGCAAGCGGCTTCAAGTGCATTTTTTTCTTGAGTTGAAGCCGAAACCAACGAGCGAATGCTGAGACTTGGCCGTATCTCATCCACACAGCCATTTTCAGACACACCACACAACGCAAACATCATCGAGGACAAAGACATAACATTCAGAAACCCCAGGAAGAAGAAGAAGAATCAGATTACGAAAAAAATGTCAGCGGCTTCTCCGATCCACTGCGTCAGAATCCTCAACCCTTCTTCGACAGCAGTCTCCCCTTCAAAATCATCTGGTTCGTCTCGTTTCAGATTCTCTCCTACCAAGCCATGCGTTTTCACCGTCAGCTGCTCTCAGGCCGAAGGTCCCTTGAGGAGACCGGTGGCTCCTCCTCCTCTCCGGGAGCCATCGCCGCCGTCGAAGCCCATCCCTCCTCCGCCGTCTCCCTCTCCTTCCACTGTGTCTCCGCCTCCGCCTCCGCCGGCGGCGACTTTTGAGGTGGGCAAGGGTGTTATTACGTTCGAGTTCCAGAGGCAGAAGGCCAAGGAGCTGCAAGATTACTTTAAGCAGAAGAAGCTTGAAGCCGCTAATCAAGGCCCCTTCTTTGGATTCCTTCCCAAGAACGAGGTTTCCAATGGAAGGTATCAAAGTTTGGATTTTGACTTCTGGGTCATGATTGTTTTGAAGGTTTTCTGATTGGGTTCGCATTAGGTGGAGAAATTTCGATTTCTTGTTTTGTTGGATTATAGAAGAATGATTACTTTTTACTAAACAAATTGATGTTACATAGTTCAGGAGGGTGTTCAATTGTTCTGCCATTTGAGTGTTTTCTTTTTCGAATGCCATTTGATCCGTGTTGGGGGCTGGTATTTGCAGATGGGCAATGTTTGGTTTCGCGGTTGGAATGCTCACAGAGTATGCGACAGGGTCAGACCTCGTTGATCAAGTTAAGATCCTCCTCTCCAATTTCGGTATCATAGACTTGGAATGATTTTTTCTCTTCAAGTATAGAGCCCTGTTTTTTTTTTTTGTGTGTAAGCATCTATCTGTTCATAAGCAGACACATGTATTGTATTTTGTATTGTCAATCTCTCATTTGTTGTTGTTGTTTATTGTTGCTCTAATTATGTATCTTCAGGATCTGCAACTGCAATCCAAATAGTACATATACATTTGCCCGTTTTATAGAATTTTTTTTAAGAATTTTTTTTTAAAAAAAAATTCGGCTCAATCTCGGTATCATAAACTGGTTTTGGAGAATCCTTGTCTTTGGGATCATATCTTAGATGTTTCCTTCAAATATGATTTTCACTTTGGGAGTCACAAAACAGCCACAAAATGTTCACAACTGATAAATGGGCACGTGGTTGAACGCCTTTCAGGAGGAATTTACTTGGAGGGTTAAAAAGGGATATAAAGACTGTCCTCATCCAAAGCCAAGTAGCAGTTTTGTACAATACGAAAGACTTTCAATCTTCTATACTTTAGATACCAGAAATCCTGCAGTCACATTCCCATGACCCCAAAAAAAAAAAAAAAAAAAAAACAACCCACAACAGTGTGTTGTTCCTCCCTTTAGCTCATTCTGGCTTTGCTCCTTCAAACGTTTCAGGATGTTATCTCATCACTCAATTCGCAGAGAAGTTACCATCCTCTATTGTCTTCTACAACACCATGACCAAAGAGAGGATAGCAAAAGTAACAAGCTTAGCCTTCCCAGCCGGATTGATGTATTGTGGTCAGTATTTGGGCCATATATATTCTCCAATCCTATGTGAGAAGGGGTCACGGTCGGTATGTGCAATCCTATGAAACCGTTGCCACTTACAGTGTTGGACCAAAGTGTTGTTGATATAGTTACTCCCCATTTGTCTGAAATGTGAAACTCCAACCGGATAGGTAAAAAGATCTCAGAGTCCATTGAAGGACGAAAACCCATTGCTATGGTTGACACTGAGCCTGCATGGTAAAAAAGGTGAGCGATAAGTTTGGTGTGACAATCAAACTTATGTCATTCGAGGTTCAAAAAATCTTGTTCCTACGGACCTAAAGTCTGAAAAGAGAATGTAATGCATCTCATGACTCATGATTCAGGTGCAAAACATTCAGAAGCTTACCAGATCTGAAAGATAGATACATCATGACCCGGAAGATGACTTCTGAACCCACATTTGTTTCTGCAAGACAATTAAAAAATAAAATAGTAATTAAAAACAAGAATTGTGAAGGGGTTCAAGAGGTAAAGTAACTTCAAGGGCATTGTAAAAGGCTTTCGCTTGCCTCATGAGGATTCAAACCACTGCCACCTCTTCTCAAAGATTTACCATCACCTGTCATCCCCAAGACGCCATCTTTTCTATTACGAGCTCCAACACGGCGACTGGTATGTCTTGAAGAACCTGCAGGATTCAGAAATTTGAGAAGTTAAGACAGATGTCTCTAGATTAATATAGTTACGGAAGCCATGATAAATTTATAGATATCAATTAGCTAACCGTTCTCTGGAGAATATGAATGGTGGCTGCCAGAGGAAGCTGCCCCTTCAACAGTCTTCAGGACAAGCATCTCGTCTTTCACTTCTCCATTATTCGCTGGAAGATCGTAACAGACTAAGTTGAAATATAACAGAGGGGAAATACTCAACCACAAACATCCCTTAATAATCGATTAATAGCAAAACTATAACCTGCTGAAGATGACTGATGGTCCTCGCTAACATTCAACCCATCAGTACGATGAAGCGGAGCCCACATAATACGATCAGGTCCTTCTTTGTTTCTCGTGCGTCTCTCCTGCTTCTCACTGAGGGCACCAGGACCATGATAGTCTTTCCCTGCAAATTTACCATCTGGGTTGTTTCATATCATCAGAATAACTCGATAAACTTCAACAAACATTTTGATCAAAACACATCTCTCCTTACCTGCTCGTGTGTTGGCAGACCGAGGAGGTCGTTTGCTGTTTTCCACCTCTGATGATGGCGCTTTTTGCTCAGGATGTACAGAAGATGAAGATTGACTCAGTTGTGGCTCATGTTTCAAAAGTATGCCCCTGATCAACCTCCTACCAACATCACTCTTCTGGCTTTGTCTGGAAGCAGATGAACTTCCCACTGAAGCCGTTTCATTCTGCTCCTCTGACTGTGGCAAAGAGTTCTGAATGTGCAAAACCATTAAAGAACATATACAAAACAGAATGATTTACATGGCTTGTGATTGTCAAAGACTATCAGACTACCTGATAATTATGAAGATTTTTCTAAAAAAACAAAACTTACAGTAGGACTGTTTCTGTCCTTTGCTTTCAAGAGCAAAATCTTTTTCTTTCCAGACTCCATAATCAAGTTAATCCCTGGGAAAGAGCTTTCGATAACAGTGTCTGCAGTTGAGTCAATTAGAGCAAATTAGATAGGCCGAGAACTTTTGATTGTAGGAATACAGAAGCAATTAAAAGTAATTATGGCGCAACTATTTGATTACCATTTTCATTTTCTGGGACTTCACTGGAAGTTAAATGCTTATTTTCTTGCTTAGAGCTCGTGGCATAGGCTGACTTAGCTTTTCGGGTCATGTTCTTTGCACTGTCCTTTTCAACATACTTATACGGGAAAAACATTCAAAATGGAAAATTGAATAATTTCCTTCCGGACACAGAAAAAAAGGGCACCGACTGGGCCAAAAATTTGCACACCAACATTCGTTAGGCAAGTACCTTTTTCTTTTCGGAGCTTCGTTTCGAAGACCTTGAATTTGGCTTATTAGCAGATGCAGCTCTGCCTCTTCTGCTCGCTCTTCGAAAATCTGACAAACCCTATTGTAGACCCCAAACCATGGATCAAGTAAGGTCTCTTTCAAATGGATAAAGTACATGTAGACACCCACTACAGGTTACACTGACTTTCCAATATCTGGGGGGAAATATAACGGGAAAGCACAATGCACCTGTGTTTCAATCTCAGCAGCACGTTTTTGCCGTATAAATTCCATCAGAGGAGTAACAATAAGAGTGTCTGTCATTGTACCTGAGAAGCAATTTCAGATAGTAAAATTCACTGGTATTGGACTATAAGCATTCTTATCGGACTAGAAGTGACACCCCAGAGAAAAGGATGATGAACACAATTCGTTTCGGAAATACATACCAGACTGTTCGGCTTCTTTTCTTTCCAACTGGATTTCAGCACTCGGAAGGTTCTCAACAGGTCTAGCTATGATCTTAAGAAATTCCAGATAACCAGGATCCTTGCAAATAGTCCCTTCACGAGGATCCTTCTTGCCACATTGTTTTGGCACACGCTGTGAAGGCGCATATTCAACTATAGCCTTGCATTGAGATCCTAGTATAGGAAATACACAATCACATATCCAACAGGCCATATAGCACTAATCAAACGAAGAGAGTTGACAAAGACAGTTAAGTCAAATACCCTTCTCATTAACAAACACATGGCCGTTGAAAAATGTAGCAAACTCATAAACATCCTCTTGAGTCTTGAACTCTATGTAGGCCCGAGAATACTTCTGATTCTTATGGCTGAGGAAGCAGGTAAAAGAAAACTCAAAAATCAGCTCGAAAGCAGGAACCTTTCTTCCAGTGGCAGTGAAAATTTAACCCCCGGAATAGCTCTAAGACATCTATCTTATAAAATATTAAAGCTATCACCTAAAGACAAATGCTTGACGAGAAGAAACGCCGGCATATTCAGAACAAGAGACAAACGTTTAGCACAAGGATCACAAACATTCTCTAAAATTTTCTGCGAAACGAACTCAAATTATCCGATAAAAAAATGTAATGCTATTCGGAAGCCACTCGATTCAGACAAAACCTCCAGATTCCATGGGCGCTATTGATGGAAAGCAAATCCAACCAACATGAAACACAAGAAACGGTCAATAAAGAGGTAAGGAGAATCGTACCTGGATTTCCCAGGATGAAAAGCGAGCCAATTGTAACGATCGGCGAAACGAGCGTGGATATGGGACAAGAGACCAGACTGAGTAATAGACGGCGGCAAGTGCCGTACGATCACTTTCCTCTTCTGCAACGGGTCCTTCATGAGATTGCCGGGCCCTAAATCCTTCGGAGAGGTCGAAAATCAGACAACGAAGCAGCAAATCAAACTCCGAAACATTGCACGCAATTTTGCCCTAATTCGTTCGTCTTTTCCCTCTTTTCTTCCATCTCTCGAGGTAATACAACCAAAGCCTATATTTTTATTTTTATTTTTATTTTTATTTTTATTTTTATTTTTATTTATATATTTTTTAAAAGGAAAAAGTGTTTATTTGGAACTTTTTGGACCGTTGGATCCCAGGGTCGCAAAAGTACGTGGTCGTGTATTGGACCGAGGTCTGGGCCTACATTCTGTTAAGGACCCATCGAACTTCACTCGCAAGGGTGTATTAAGTTTTGGCCGTACGATGAAGGTCGTTCCCATCTGACGGTCATTAATCACTCTTATAGTTATCCGCGTGACAGGGGATAAAATTACCGATGAGAAGTAAGATGGGCCTCTCTTTGGACCAGAAAATGAACTCAATGGGCCTAAAATTAGGCCTATATTGGGCCATATTTCATTAGGCCCATTACATTGACGCACGTCGTGGTGTTGCGTTTTGCGTCAGGATGAAAATAGCAACGCATCCAACGTTAGATAATAATAATAATAACCCACATGATCATTTTGGTTTGATTATAATTCCAAACCGAATAATATATAATTCAATCATATTTTTATATTATAGTTTTTTAAATTAAATAAAATGAGGCCAACCGTGATGTAGTTTTTTTTTAAAAAAGATTGTCAAAAGCTGAAAACGACATCCTCTGTTTCTTACCGGGTCAGATTATTCTATGATCTTATTGAAGATCGAAACTTTACGTCGATTTCTTCGTCTATCTGTTAAATTTCACTAGTTTTTCGACAAGGGTACATGAAATTTTCCCAGATGGGCGAAGACCTCGTGGAGGATGATTCGGAATTGGCCTCGCCTCGAGCCCGGCTGGAACCCTAGTTCATGTTGGCCGTACGTGCAGCGGGAAAAAGCCGATTCTTGGAAGAAATGCGTTTTAAGTCGTGTAAGTTCACTATTTGTCACCAGAGAGGGTGAATTTTCGAGGGGTGGACTACTAGATGGACTGACTTCAGTTGAGTCATCTTCGCTCGTTTCCTTCTACGGTATGTAATGTTAATCTGGTAACTGGTACAGGTTTCTTTGATTTGTCTATGGCCGCCGCCAAATTCATCGTTAGATGCATAACTCTGTCCGAAGACGGAATCCGTGTCGTGAGCCAACTGATTGAAGAGGGACAGTATGCGCTGCAGCAGCTGCTGACCCTTTTCGATGGAGGAGTATCTGGATCAGGGCAAGACTACTGTCTTGAAAATTTGATCCAGATAACACATGTTTCCTGTCTTGCATCAGTAGTTTGAAATGAATTGTAATGGTTGTAGGAAATTATCCAGATAACAATCGATCGATGTTGTTTGATAGACAAGACAATATAAACACGAGAAAGCTGAGCAGGTTTACGCTTGTTGAACTGTGGAAAATGGTACAACGGATGAGTTATTGCGGGAATTACATGTGAAGTAATTCTCAAAATTTGTTATTAAGATTGCTTTAGCTTAGAGAGTTGTTCATTAAGATGGAATTATCTCTTCTCAGGAGGTTGAATCATTGAAGGGAGAACAAGAGATATGGAAGTTGAAGAGGCAGATAGAAAGGGCTTAAGAACTGCTGGTCATTTGTATTACACAAACCTTGACCACAATATTACTGCTTGGCCGTTTTATAAGGTTCCAAAACGCGAGAAAGACTGTAACTTTTTCGTATGTAAACATTTATGTGATACATCGAGAATTCTTGAGTTTTTTCCCTCCATTTTTCGGGTGGATACCAACCTGAAAGAAACAACGACAAGTCTTGAGAAGCAAATCGCTGAAGAACAAGCTACGAGGGTCAGAGTGGAAATGAGTTTCAGAAACATTCCATTGGAGATCAAAAAGCTGAGAAAGAATCCGGAGAAAGCAGAGAGGGAGGCTGAGGAACTCCCAAAAGTAAAAACAAATGCATCAATTTCTGATATATGTCCTTAGCTCGAATGAGGTCGCAAAGGAGAATGAAAGATCGATCCCTGGTACGTTGAATTATATGTCGGTATATGATTTGCCTGCCAAATATACTCTCTTGCGTATGGTCTCATGCATGATTATATCTGTGTCTCTCCATAATTAACGCTGAATGGATTGGTTGAAACTTGTACATATATTGTATCTTGCTTCAAAACTTCACAATAGCCTTTATCTTTGTGTGTGGAGAGAGCAAAAGCCTTTATCTTGACAATGGTAATGGGAACAAAAGTTGTTTGCTATTTAAGCTCACAAAGGAATTATTCTTTCCTTGCAATATTTTAACCTTGGATAACTGACAATACAAAAACCCTGTTGTTGTCGAACATATCTTGATTCTTTACTTGACGGTTTTTGCTTGAAAAGTAGAAAGAATTCCATTCTTCGTCTCTGACAATCTGTGAACAGTTTTGTGTATCTCAATACTCGTGTGTCTATAAATTCGTTTCATTCATGCGGTGGCAAAACTTTCAGGTTATCGCAGGGAATACTCAAAAGCTACGGTTTTCTGAAGCAAGTAATTCTGATCACAGGTATGTGATTGATCTACGGCGAAAGATGGAAACTTTTCACCAACCCATCAATCGATCAATCCGTCAAGGCTTAAACTAAGTATAAGTTTTTTTGTTTTTTGCAAGTTTGAGATATGGTGGACTTGGAGGTTTGTGGGGGAGAATGGAAACCGGCAAGAACACTGGTTCTGGTGGGGAGAACAGGCAATGGCAAAAGCAAGACAGGGAACAGCATCATCACCACGTTGAACTCCATGATGGGGAAGCAACCAAAGAAACCTCCCTTTGCTTCGAAATACAGCGCAACTGGTGTCACCCAAGAATGTAAGTTAGAGACAACCGAGTTCGAAGGTCGTGAGATCAATGTCATCGATACTCCCGGTATGTTATTTTTCGTCGTTGTATCGATCGATGAACGAGCTTAGATATACGACCTGGTTTCCTTTAAGAAGAAGAATTGAACCAATATGTGAGCTCTTCTTTTGGAAATAAATACCCGGAAATAGAGTACCCGTCCAACTGATATTCGTAGGTACCCATGTACATTAACAAATGACATACATATTCTTATTAATTTTTAATATTTCCCATCTTTAGTCCGGTGATTCGTATTTTTTGGTTATTCGAACTCATTATTTTTAGAATTATCCATTTTTTGTTATAATTTTGGTTTCTTAAAATATCATTTTTGGGTTTGGGTACAAATCCATGTAGAGATGTACTCTGAATTTTTCGGGTAGTCTCCGTACCCACCCTCACTTTGTATATGCATGTATAATATAACAATACATATACATGCGGACATGTGTGTGTGTGTGTTTACAGGTCTGTTTGATTTGCAAATGGAGACCGAGTTCATAGCAAAGGAGCTCGGGAGATGCCTAACCATGGCGAAAGATGGAATAGACGCAGTCTTGTTGATATTCTCCGTGAGGAGTCGTCTAACAGCGGAAGAGAAGTCTGCCCTAATCAACATAAGGTCAATTTTCGGGAGTAATGTCGTGAACCACATCATCGTTGTTTTCACCAACGGTGACGCCTTGGAAAGCGATGGCCAGACACTGGATGACTACCTCACCGATGACTGCCCTGAGTTCCTCAAGGTTCGACTTTTCGATTTCTTTTCACGCAGATAACTTTGCACTGATCGAACCGAAAGAAGAAAAAACCGAAAGTTTTCGTATTTTTTCGTAGGAACTTCTCTCGGTGTGCGACAACCGAATGGTTCTCTTCAATAACAACAGCTCCGATAGAGAACAGAGAGAAACCCAAGTCAAGGAGCTGCTCCAGCTAGTCGAAAAGGCCGTGGAGCATAATGGTGGAGCCACCTACACAGATGAGCTGCATCAAAAGATAAAGGCGAATGACTAAAACTTCTCCCTGCTTTACTCGGCTTTTTCTTGCATGGAGAGATAAATGTTCATCAGGGTTGCCTTTTATGTCATTTTTTCTTTCCAGAAACTGAATGCCCAATTCGAGAAAGAGGAAGAGGAGATCAAATCACTGAATGCACACTCGAACCTCAGCAGGGAAGAGTTGCTGGATAGGTTACAGAAGGCGACGGGCAAGCACTGTGACCAGATCATGCTTGCGGTAATTCGATTACCCGTGAATCGCGACGAAACATAGCTAGGGTTTCATATTCAAAAGGGTAAGAGTCTGGTGATGGCATTTTGTTCAGGTGAACGCCCACATAATAAAAACGAGGCAGAGAATGGAGATGCAGGCGGCTAAAGAAAGAGCCGAGAGAATCAAAGCGGAGAAAGAGGCGGAAAAAGAGCGAGAACGATTCAAAAACGAGCAGAAGAAGATGATGGAAGAGGCGGCCAGGCAAAGGGAAAACGACAGGAAAGCAGCAGAGAGAGAGGAGCAACGCCTGAGAGAACAGAACAAAGCTCTGCAGAAAGCCTTGGACGAGAAGAAAAGCAGATCATGCCGTATTCTCTGAAGAAACATCGTGTTCTTCTTCTATCAATCTATATATAAGTGTGTGTGTGTGTGTGTGAATGTGAATGTGCATAGGCATATGTATTTGTGATGCAGATAACACCTCTCTATCTCTAATCTCTATGTACTGTGTGAGTGTCACCATGTTGTATGTATATGTGATACTGATAAAATAAAGGTGAACTCTTTCTTCTTAGAACTTTAGTTAGCTTTTTCCATCTCTCTCATGATTCTTAGTTCAGACTTCGGATATCACTGCAAGAACATGTGAAACTCTACGCGAATCCGAAACCTAATCACGTTTCTATTCACAAGAACATCTGAAGTGAGGCAAAAAAACATAAAATGATTGTGGAGAAAAGGTTTCGTAGAATTACGACAGAAAAAGGGACAGGACAGTGTTCAAAGGAACTAGCTTTCCGAGCTCTCGGTGTTGCCTGAATGTACACTTACCCCACTTAGCCAAAATCAGATTGCATCTTTGTCATATGTATCCGCTGCTCTCTCTGCTGCAATAACCAACGGTAAAAGGGTAAGGCTTTGCGATGAACAAAACTCGATAATCCATATCGATCAGTTTCGTAAATTTCAAGACCCTTTTCGCCTCTTTCGCCAAATATTTTTGGAATCTTCTCCTCAGAAGAAGCTTGTAACGCCGTTGTGCGTATACGTTAAGACAATACATATATATACAACTTTTATTTGGAATCTCCTCATGCCAAGGAAGTAATCTTCTAGTGATTCTTTGCTTGTCAATGGGTCCTGCATCTGCTCTTTAGCGTGTGGCTCTGCTCGAATAATTTCAGTTCCGTAAAGTTCTTCATGCTGTGTTCCTCAAGTCAGCTTATTTCATCTATAAATTCTCATCTCCTTAGGTTGCCAGATTATGAATAATTCTTCTAACAAAGTTCAAAGTTAACAATGGCGAGAAGAAATTCCCAAAAGGGAAAGTATCTGATGGAGGATATGGTTGAACCGTCGGGTCCACCGTCGAAACGAGCCCGGACTCTCGTCCTGGTCGGGCGTACAGGAAACGGGAAGAGCGCCACGGGGAACAGCATCCTCGGAAGAAGGGCGTTCAAGCAGGGATCGAGCTCGGTAGGAGTTACCAGGACTTGTGAGCTTCAGACAGCTGAGCTAGAAGACGGCCAGATCATCAACGTCATCGACACTCCCGGTACGTTCCGTGTGTATTTACGACAATACCCTTACACGCCCTCTCAAGACGGATGATCCGTTCTTTTCCCTATGCCGTTTTTCAGGTCTGTCATCTCTGTCTCCGATGTCGGAATCAACGGCAAAAGAGATACTACGATGCTTAACGCTTGCCAAACAGGGGATAGACGCCGTTCTGCTGGTTTTCTCGGTGAGTAGTCGTATCTCGCGGGAGGAAGAGGATACGCTCCATCTGTTGCAAGCCCTTTTCGGGCGAGAGATCGTAGATCACATGATCGTCGTCTTCACGGGAGGCGACGACCTGGAAGACAACGAGGATACACTCGAGGACTACTTGGACAGGGGCTGTCCAAACTTTCTAAAGGTACACATTGTCCTGTGATAATATCCAACTACCCGATTTCTTTGGAAACATCTAAATTACTCTATACGAACCGAAACTCTTTATATTTGAACGGTTTGGTTGCAGGAAATGATCGAACGGAGTGAAAAACCGTTGGTGTTGTTCGACAACAAGACCGAAGACAAACGCAAGAAAACGGAGCAAGTTCATAAGCTTCTGTCCGTCGTCGATTCCGTTGTGAAGCGTAACGGCGGGAAACCTTATATGGACGATCTTTTCGTTGAGCCGCAGGTTATATATATATGTATATGTGTGTGTATATATATATATAGTGTTCTGTCTTTTTTTTTTTTCTCTCCATCATGACTTAGATTTGATTCTGTGTGTGTTCAGGTGGAGAAGCAACTGGCTGAAGACGAAGAGGTGATTCCCATACAACGGAGCAGGACCGTCTCAAGGTGGATTGGAATTACTTTTTTTTTAATTTGAAAATTTTAAAATAAATTTGTTTTGGAGATATTTTAATTCAGATTTATTTTAATGCATCTTTATTATCGAATACTATGAATCTATTTTTTTGTTAAAAAAATATTAAATCTGATAATATCATTTTTTTTTTAATTTTACCATTAAGAATTAGTATTTAACAAAATTATAAATTATTGGATAGATCAACCGATATTTTTGAATAACTAATTGTGGTGTATTTATATTATTTTAAATTGCGATTGTATAAACTAATTTTTAATATTGGTCTTTAGATATTTTAAAAACTTTTAAATTTTAAGTTTATTTTGTTAAAAATATTTATCATATAGAATTTACAATTTTGCATGGACTAAATAATTTTTATATATGGTATATATATACAGTGCTCGTCCCGTAATGTATGAGAAGAATCTGGAACCGAGTCTGTCCAATGAAGAGATACGTAAAATGAGGAAAATAATAAAGAAGGAAGAAGAAGCGAACTACAATTATCTCGAGCTCTGGCGAAGATGCAACATCATGTGAGATGTATAACTCCAAAGAAACACTTCTTATATGTGTGTGTATATATACATATATATGGATATGATGCATGCATATACTATAGTTTTTTTTATGTATATGTACATATACTATGTATATATTATATATGTGTGTACTATTGAGTGTATCAGTGCAGTCACACGACTATATGAAATAACACCGCCTTTACAAAGCGTTTCCAGTTCTTCGTTCACATGCATGCATTAAAACACGCATTTCCGTACATCGATCTACTCAACATGACATGATATTAAAACAGATCATTCATATATGTCCCATGCAAAGATATATAGAATACAAACAAACACCACAAGAGTGTGAATAATGCGTCTGATTCATATATATATAGTTACGTAACATATTCAAGTCTTTAACGGATATATCTCCAAAAGGGCGACTGATCATTTTATTATACAGCATATATATGGATATATAGATAACGAAGAAGACGGCCCAAATCGCGGAGTTTTTTTTTTTTTTTTTTTGGCGAAGACGAAGTTTGATATCGTATCAGCCGAGATGGAGGGTTCTCTTGTCCTGAAGGTCGGAGTAAGCAGCTCCGGTGCTGGTGCTAGCTCCGGAGCCGATAAGGTTATGGCCGAAGAAGTTGCGAGAAGCTAAGGCTTCGATGGCGTTGATCTCTTGACCACTGACCATGCTATGGTGTTGCTGAAGCCTCTCCACTTCCGCTATCTGCAGATTATATATAAACGTCAACAAAAACCCGGAAAAAAAAAGATGGAAAGAAAGTGTTTATTTTAATGATTGTTACCCTTGTTCGCAGATAGATGCCCTCGTTGTCCAGTTCCATCTCCTGTCCAGAAGATGCAGAGAAGTGTTTGTTTATGTAAGAACATGTACATATATATATGTATGTATATATATATACACTTTGGGAACCTACCCTTTTCTGCAGGAATTCAATTTCAGCAAGCAGCAACTCATGCTGTTCATCCCAAATACAAAGATGATCAGGAAAGAAGAAACTTAAGAAAAAATCTCAGACACTGGTAACAGTCCATCGCTGTATATATATATTAGCTATCGACGTGAAAATCTTTCTTTCTTTTACGTTTATTTACCTTTTTAGACCTGATCCGGGACATGGCTTTCTCGAGCCTGTTCTCAAGCGTTTTCAGTTCCTTCACACTCAAGGAACTCAATGAATCTCCCATCAAATTCCTGAGAACATATGCAAAATGCAAAATATCATTGGAAGTCTATATATCTCTATGTGTCTGAGAGAGAGATAGAGAGAGAGAGAGAGAAAGAGAGAGAGAAGTGGGGGAACCTGTTGGAGTTTTGAAGCATTTGGATCTGCTGCCTCAGCTTCGCGGATTCTTGTTGATAGTACTGTAAATTCAGACAAGAACTGTGAGGAATGATGATTATATTATATATATACCCTATGATTAACTTTCTGTCGATCGTCATACCAAAAAAAAAAAACTTTCTGTCGATCGGTTGCAGTACACTCAATAACTCAAACTACCAGAAGCAGCAAATTAGGAAATTGCAAGAAAGAAAACCAAGGTGATGAGTTCACCAATCATGGATCGTTGAAAGGGGTACCCTTAGGATTCCTGTTATGATAATTCTTACCCCAAGTCTTTTCCCGAGAAAATTCTCGCACTAGAGTGCTCTCTCTCTCTCTCTCTTTCTGTGAGGTTATCAACTATCTCCCGACCTTGTATAGAGAGCATGCACAATGACGTTTCTATCCTTATTAACGACTCAACAAGAATACAAAACTACATTCTTGCCCTCGGGGCTCTCTTGATCAGATTATTTGGCCAAATTATAAGCCACTGAACCTGAGCAAGAACATATGCACAGAGAGAGAGCGAGAGAGAGAGAGATCGTAGGTTAAATAACGGGAGGAAAGAAAAAGATTACCGCAGCATTGATTTCTTGGACAGAGCTTGTGTTGGTGCTGTCGGAACACGCCTTCTTATACCTCTCGATGGTTGATCGTATGCTGTTTGTCAAAGCAGCTTACGATTATGACTTGGAACACACGTTTTTAATTTAACTAATTGCATGAAAATTAATAGAAGGATATGCAAAGACAAAAGACAAAGAACGAACGAATTTTACCAAATGAGTTTTGATTTTCTTAAGGTGAAAGAGGGAAGATCCTCAGAACATCATCAAACACACTTTATATTACTGTCTCGTTGAGTTCAAAGAAGAGACAAAAAAAAAAAAGACAAGAAGTGATAATTGGAGACTTTGTTGACCACAACTGCAACCTATATGTGTCTTGCAAGTTCTGTCTGGGTGTGTACTTGTTTATATATGCCTATACATACACACATCATATTTGTCAGTATGTGTGTGTATATATATATATACATATACACTTTGAAAATACTTTTCACTAACCCAATAGATCGTGGGCGAGTGGTCAATCTTGGAATAGGAGGTAACTCTACTTTGAGTTTGAGTGTTCGATTCCTAACTGGTGGGGAGAAAGGTAATTTCTGGATTTATATGATCCATATATAAAGGTTGCTCCCGCGTCGGAGGTTTACCTAGTCAGCGCACCCGAAGGGTAGCAACTAGGAGTAGCTAGGGCCCTCCGTTATCCCAAAAAAAAAAATACTTTTCACTATGTTTGAGAGCAATAAGTGTGTTTTATTTTTATTTGTGCATGGATCGATTAAACTTTGGGAATGACAAGTGAAGAGGAGAAAAAAGAGAGACAGATCCCTAGAGCTAGAAATGGAAACTAAGCATCCCAAAGGAAAGAAAAGTTCAATGCAAACGGATAACAGCAAGAAAATAAAAAATTTGATGAAAACTCTCATAGCCAGCCAAGAAAGAAACAAAAGGGAACATGAAGAGATGATCTTAGAGTCAATCACAATCACGTGGATTCATGCAAAAACTATATAAAAAAGCATAAGAATCACTGGGTTTTTTACGTCGGTTATTTTGCATGAACAAAAGCGGAGTATTATTGGTTGAAAATCATATCGGGAATGTATTTATATACATATTAAATATAATAATGGAGTCCATATTATTTATATTGCAATGATAGATTATTTGAGGGCTTACTTGTTGTTGGCGTACTCGTAGAGGCGGCCGCGGCTGGAGAAGACGATGAGGGCAACCTCGGCATCGCACAGGACAGAGAGCTCATAAGCTTTTTTCAACAGCCCGTTTCTTCTCTTGCAGAACGTCACTTGACGATTGGTCGCATTCTCTATCCTCTTTATCTCAATCTTCCCTCTTCCCATCTTATCCAATTCCTTCAACCAAAAGCAGTCAAGCAGTTAACGTTACATACATCCATATACACCATATCCATATATGCGTGGCAACTGTTTCAAACTTTTTTTTGTGTTGAATCCACTTTTTAATGTTGATATTCTGATTAGTATAAACAGATTTCTTGGTATTCCTTCTTTCATTCCAAACAATGTATATGTGTCTGTGCACATAAACAGAGAGAAAGAATGGTGAAATACGTATAAGTTAGCTATATATGTGCGTACACAGACAGAGATACGCAAATCCCTACAGCAAGAGACCATAGTTCACAAGTTACATGTCTCTACACATATATATGCCCCAGAGGAAAATCTTTCTGAAATATATGAAAACACGAGTTGCTCATTGACAACTATCAAGAACCAGATCCACCGATAAAATACAAAATCTTTAACCAAAATAACATTTTTATCTGACGAGGATCTGGGTATGTTCTAAAAGCGAAAGCAAACCCTAAACCTAAACCTAGGGTTTCATATGTAAAACCAAAAGTCTATTATTATATATTGAATTTATTTAGGGATCATCGAAGGAAGAACATTGATGGCTGATCTTAAAGACAGAACAAGAATCAGATCGATCTGATGCATCGGAAACTAGGGTTGGGAAAAAACTGTCGAACTTTTCGTTGAGGAAAAAAATTCAAGAATACGGTCATCTAAGAAAACCATATATATATACACACATTTTAACAGCATATTGACTAGTACGTTCTCCTTGTATATGTATTTTTCAGAACATATACATATACAGATTAGATATATATACACCCACATGTATATATCCCCACGCAGCTTGTGACAGCTTTTCAGAAAATTAAATCAAAAGAAAATCAGAGGTGAAACTCTGACGGATTTACATGATTTTTTGGTATCTAGATCCAATTTAATTTTGACCCATCTCCTGTACTCTCTCTCTCTCTCTCCTCGTATAGTGTTTTGAAGGCAAAACAACATCAAAGGGCACAAAAAGATGCGTATTTAGATAGAGATCTACAAGATATCTACAAACTTACAGAGGTATTTACGTAATCTATGGCAGTTAAACTGATCCACGAAGACATATTCACCCAAAAAAATGGAGGAAGAAAAGATCAAGAGTCTTTGAAAATGGAAGAAAAGTTGCGGATCTGGAGAGAGAAACTCAAAGTGATCTGAGGAAGGCACTGATGCACATGAAGCTGAAGTTCGTACGAGAGAGAGAGAGAGAGAGAGAGAGAGAGAACTAAGTGTAGTTTCAAGAGGGAAAAACAGCAGATTTGGAACTTGTTCAGGCAAAATCTTAGCTTCAGCTTACAAGAAAGGAAAGAGAATCTAGCAGATATAAAAAAACTAAAACCCCAAAAGAAATCTAAAATTGAAGAAGAACAAAACCCTTTCTCTCTCTTCTCCGAACATGGGGAAACGGATCAAACACAAGAAAAGAATGGAAAAATCTTCCATATTTGCGAATATTTATTACACATTTGCAATGTTTATCACCAAAACCAAGAAAAAAGTAACAAGCCCATGATGGATAAATTATATGTACATACATATCTATAGTTTTTGATGTGATATACAAAGATGGGAGATCGATAAGATCAAGAAGAGTTTGAAGTTTTGCCTTTTAAGAGAAGAAATAAAGACAAGACAGACCTGTGAGAGCTTAATTTGGACAATCTCCGGACTTCAGCTTTCGGAAACTCTCTCTCTCTCTCTCTCTTAATAAAAAGAAGAAGATTTCCGAATCCCAAAAACAAAGCCAAACTCTTCTCTCTTCGAAACCCTAGTTTCTCTCTCTCCTCTCTCTCTCCCTCTCTGACAAGTGTATTTATAGAGGTTACTTTCTTTGCCCGCCTACATGCTGGGAGAGAGAGAGAGAGAGAGAGAATAATAAATAGGTTGCGAAGAGCATATAGTTTTTACATATAGGAATATGAAATTTTATCAAAATGTTATTACCATGATTATAATACGTTCGTACTTCGTATGCATTTTGTATATGCTGTATGCCGGAGAGAGACGCCCTTAGTCTCTTTTAGTTTTCATTGGTAACCAACTATGGAGATCTATTGTGCATCTTCTCTTTTTCTCTTACAATTTACCTGATTTTTATGGTCGGGGAAATGAAGAAAAAAAAAAGGTTTCACACTTTACATAGAAAAATTATAAAGCAAAATTTGAAAATTTATAATGTGTTAATAATAAATCTACAAATTTCAACATGTGAATTTTTAAGGTCTAGACATTTCAAAAAATGGTGTGGTTTTATATTATGATTTTTTTTAATATTCGGGTTTTCATATACTTAAAAGTTCAATTCTATAAGGCAAAACATTGATCAACTATAGCATTTAGTAGAATTGGAACCATCTCTTTTTCTTTTCAAATAATAATATATTATTTTGGATATTTTGTTTCAGTAACTCTAAGAAAATGAAATATATCATATAAAATTTGGTCTCATTGCCTAGAAAGATTTGATGTAAAGATTTCTTGTAGAAGGTTTTTTGTTAAAAACTAATCTTATGTAACAAATTAAAAACTATCTTGATAAGATATTACAACACCAAAAAACTGTTTACCAACACAAGTTAATTTGCAAAGATTTAGAAGTCGTTACAATTCATATATACCTTTATTCAAATATTAATTATAGGTTTAACGATTATATTCGTTTTACAATTTCATACTACTTTTACAATGGTTTTGAACCGTTGTAAAAATTCTAAGACACCGCCACAAATAATATGATTTTCTTATAATGCTACGAACACAAATTTTAAAGCATGTCTTAAGAAAATTCATTTTTGTCATAGAGAATATCGAACCTAATCTACGTATAGATAGATATACAGTACTATTGATAGATGGAAGTAGTTCGATAATTCGGGAAAATAAAAATAGGAGAAGAGGTGCGCCCAAAAAAAAAGATATTTAGGGTTAATTATTTTGGCACCAATTAGGGTTTAATGCATGGAGTGTTAATTTTGGTTGGAAAGCGGACTACCAATAATAATAAAAAATAATATAAATACAAAAAGATATTGGGGGGTTCGACAAGGACATGGGAATTGTAGCTTTGCCAAAAATAGAAAGTAGACGTTGACGTTGTTGGTGCATTTTCCCTTGCATTTGCTTTTTCATCTTCTCTTTATCCATTTTTAGTAATTCTTTTCCTATTTTCTTTGCTTTTTCCCCCTAACTCCCTCTTCTCGGCTCTGAATTAATTTTTTTTTTCTTTTTTAGTTTTCAATTCTCTCAAGTAATGCATTGTTTAATGCCTTATACACCTTTAGGATATTGTGTACATAAAAAAAATACAAGTGTACGTCACCATATATATTTATACGTAACCTTATTTTAATTTATCACGGTATGATTTTGTCATATTCTGTATTATCGGTGTGTATATATACAAGTGAATTCAGAAACGTTAAGGGTGCTAATAAAATTGTCACTCGGCATTTTACGTGATGTGATAGAACAGAATTAGTAGATATATTTAATAAATTGTTATATATGTATGTGCATATATAATATATGTACATATATATAGGAATACATTGAGTGGAAATTATGGGGCGCTTACCATGTACGTGACTCGTCCCCTGCATATATATATATATATATATGTATATGTATATGTATATGAATGTAGGTGTTTGAATCTACTTATATGCATGCAAGTGACCATACGATGTTACCAATTTAATTCATTTTATAATCACATATATGGCATGGTTGACCAGAAAAAAAAAAAGAATTACACATGGTGCATGGTTCAGAGGAATTTTGACTATATATATATAATAGAATTATTCGTGTATAATTTCGTTGTGGGTAAATCACATGCATATATTTCAGAAGTTCGCTTTTGCATTGAATGGTATGAACATGTATTTTTGTAGTCTAATGGAATTCGACCGTATATACATATATATGTTTTATATATGTAAGGATCGGTTATATATGATGTTATTAGTAATTTTTATTTTGGGTTGTTTGTTTGTAGAACATGGACAGCTGTTTTCGATTACAGTCGGACCACTTGGGCGTGTTTAAGAGGAACCAAACACAGAGAAAGAGTTAAAAGATCCACAAAGCTTATGCTCTCAACTCTTAAGCTTATTTTGGTAACTCGTTTTCTTAAAGTAACCTCCACTTGTTGAGCCTAAAATTGCCACCCGAGATTCTACAATCATCATCATCATTTTTGTATTTTATTTTCCTTATATTATTCTTCATTTATGCATCGCTTGTACACACTACGGTAAGTTTCATCAAGTAATGAAGCCCCGACAAGTCTTTCAATCTTCTTGAGTTTGTTCCAAGATCAATGGAACTAAATACATCTCAAGATTTGTTCAACATATCAACGATTCTGTTACATGTACCCGAAAAAAAAACTTCTAAACAAAGCTTTGACCGATCAGAAGAGGAAATGTTTCAACTGAATACAAATGGACTTACAGTTTCGTCAATTTGCAGCAAAAACAGACAAGGATCGATCCTGTATTATTGCAGCATCTGGGCCAAGAAGAAACACAACAGAATCACTCCAGAGTTGTTTCGCTTTGATAAGGGTCCTGTTCTTGCCGCTGTTGTTCAGGAACAAGAACCTCAAACTCACTCACATTCCACTCCGCGGTTTCTTGATTCTTGCTAACGTATATTTCTGTACCAACATTGATCGATGACCAAACCCGCTTCGCCGCCTTTGTTCCAGGGTCCTGGCCACAAACAGGAGGATGTTCAGGAGAAATCCCCGGTCAAATCAGTTTCATGGGTGTATAAAACTGTACATATAACATATATATATATATATACTTGGTAGAAGTAGAGACGACTGGAGAGAGCTCCGACATCAAGCTCCCACGTCCTTGGATCGCCAATCCAGCCATCTCCCTGTTTCTCGGGGTAGCCATGGACTGCCCATTCAGGATGTGGAAGAATCTGAACAAGTTCTTGAGCTTGTGGGTTGCTGTATGGATCGCAGATATCGTATGGTTTCTCCATATGTTTGCCGTTCCCGGGGCTGCAGTAGAGATGGTAAGCAGAATACGGGAACCGGGATGTCTCGTTCCTGAGTATGATCTCACCCGAGGGGCTTGTATGGTATGGAGGACAGGATGCTAAATTATCTGGACGGCACCAGCTCGTGGTTTCTGGGTTAACAATCATCTCGCTGTATCTCGTTACATCAGTCAAAACGTCTCCATCACAAGGATCACCGTTGTTCTTCCAACAGCTCCCGATGTCAATCAGGTAAAATTGGCTGCTGGATCCTCCCCCGCGTTTAATATCAAGAGTCAGCTTCACTTTGAAGTTCGGAGACTCTGGTAGCTAAATGCATACAAATGGAAACAACACATTTCATTGTCAGATCGAAAAGATCAATATAATTAAGTTCGAGTAATGTCTCAGACAGAGTTCTATTTGACTAACTTTTCTCATGATGCCCCTGCCGTTATAGTGGTAACCACCGTTAAATCCTTCAGCAGAATCTGCACGCAGATACAACATCAGCCACGGATATTTGGCAGAGGTTGTCAATGTATTCGAGAAAACCCAGCTCCCACTTTGTACGTTCTTTTTCCATGAAACGGAAAAGAAAGAACTCTTCCCCGCTCCTTTGCTCAAGTCCGCATCGAGGTCATATGATCCATTGATACCTCCCATTAAAAACATTGTTCCTTTCCCGTCAGAAACAAGTCTTGAGTAGTTATGGTAAACAAGTGGCTGGTTCATGCAACCTTGGCCGAAACATGGAAAATTTCTATCCGTAACTATTTTACCGACTTTCCTCCCGTTTTCAGGGCATAAGGTGGAGTTCTTGTCAAAGTTTCCGTTTTTAAGCATAATCATCCAGAAATACCATGGTTCTCCAGAATCCTGTACCTTGCACAAAGATCCAAGGTATCGTTCTTTCTCAACCGCAAACAGGTCGGGGTCCTTATAAGATGTGAAACCTGGAACCAGAAACTTATCACCAGCAGCTAAGTTGTTGTCTGAATCATTCACTAGGTGGCGCACTTCACACTTGCTGGAGTGATCATCAAGCCTCCGGCCCAAAAAATCTAAGGCAAACACAAAAAAAGCCAGCAATATATATACATACAGAAGCATATTAGCAGGGGAGACACTGAAGTAGCTGAGCACCAAAACAGAGAAGACTTATGGCACAATATAGATACAAAGTACAAACACAAGAAGACGGTTCATGAGCAAGGAAACAGGGGAAGAACACTAACACTGACGCTTAAAATATCGAAAACATCTCAAATTAGAAATGATATGCCAAAAAAACCTGGCCAGTCATGAAATTTCTTCCATTCTAGCAAGTTTTCCCAAATTTGGAACAGTAAGCTTAGTTTAAAGCACCTTAATCTTAACCTACGCAAGGGTGAAGCATGAATACTCGATCCGTGAGTTTAAAAAATCGCTCGGTCACAGCCAAATTCATATGAACAACCAAAAGAGGATCAAGAGCAGCATAACGTGATGAATATCAATTTCAAAGAGTTCATCGATTCATTCATAAAAAAAATGTGCAATTTCAAATGTGAATCCGCATCACTTACAAACCCATATTCCAAAAATAAAAATTTCTTCCAAAGTAAACAATGGATGATCCATAGACGAAAATACCAGAAAGGGATGGGCAGGAGAGATCGGCGCAATCGGCAAACCTAGGGCTCCCCATTTCGGGAGCTTCGGCGCCCACTTCATTACAGAAATTCCAAGCTTCCAACGCCACTCTAACATTAGGGTTCTTCATCCCTCCATCTCCGAGCGCCGAAACATACTTCTCCGCCCCACATTTCCCGACGGACAATCTCTCCGACAACAGGGGCAGAGCGAGAAGAACCAGAATTGCAGCCATGGCGAAGGTCCACGAAGAAGCGCGTAGCGATGAGGAGCGAGAGAGGCGCGTGAGAGTGGAGAAGCCGCGCGTGACCCATGGTGGATAAAGCGAGATTTTCTCGCCATCTCATGATCGCTTCCAAGAGAGTTGTTGAGAAGTCGGACCCATTTGCTCCTACGCTTGCTTCGGAACTCCAAACTCATAAATAATGTAGCTTTTTTCCACCCCGTTACTTTCCATACATAACACAAACAGCCATAAATTTTAATTTGTTCTATAAACACCCTTTACCAGAAGAAACAACATTTATTTTCAAACAGCACATGAATTGGCACAGGTACATACACAAATACAGAATACATATATATGTATACAACATTATACATATACGGAGGATACACTAAGGTTTCTGCTTATTCTAATCAAAGATTCGCCAATTGCTGAATGGTGATGGGGTAAGTGTAATCTCGGGAAGTAAAAGTAGACTTGGCCAACAGAATGTTAGCAGTCTCCGTAGGATGAAACGCGTCCCAGTAAACGTACTTGGTACGGTCATTGCATGGCTGCTGCAGCGGCAAGCACGTTATCTGCCCGTTGTTCCTCCCCACTCCGCAACATCCTTTGTCCATCACTTCAAATCCTACACCAAGACAGTAAAGATGAGTTCTTTATCGCTTTCCATACCCGAGAAAATCATAGAGCTGTCGGAATATCGGTTCGTATCTTTTTTTAACCGAGAGGAGAGTTACCGTAGGAGGCTCCCTTGGTTGAGAGGTCGGAGGAGCTTTTGTAGGAGTCGAGGTAGACGAATTTGGAGCCGGGCAACTCTCCGTTGTTGAAATGATCGACGAGCTTCTTGAGCTTGGAGTTGAAGATGGCAATGGCCTTGTTTATCTTCTCGTTGCATTTGCTGCTGGTAGAGTTACCGTGGTAACGTGCTAGCTGGTATGGAATGCACCCGATTTTACCCACCGCCGTCACTATCACTTTCCGAGCTCCGTATTGGTACAGTTGCTTGAGTATATGCAAGGCAAAGAAAGCGATATTTACACGATATTCGTGCTTCATATGTCCCGAGAGAGACTTATATGTTACACAAAATGCGTCAAAACGTTATGGATATAAGGATCCTAGGTGAAATGCTGTACATATTACGATAATACGCTTAATATAACGGATTGTTACCGTTAGTTGGCGGGTGTAATCCTTGATGAGAGCGTCGGAGTAAGTCTGGTCGTTGAAATCAGAGCTTGTAGAGTAGAAATCGGGCATGAAGTAGTTGTTGAGGTAATCGTTACTTCCCATACCCGAGTAGTAGATGCATCGACTCAAGTACCTCTGCAACTCATCGGTATCGCCTCTGAAGTATCTCACCATCTGTTGAACCGTGCTTTCGTAGTTTTGTAGCTGCTGGTTCATAGACATGTGCACACCCTTTTGCAAAAAAAAAAAAAAACAATAAACCAGAAGTCCAGTTAATGGATATAAAGATTTTGAGTTGCAGATCAAAGTGTTAGTGTCTTTGTACCAAGTTGTCTCCTGTCTCATCTCGAATGCCAGATGCTCCCGACGCGAAATTCACTCCCCTAAGCAAGGCTGGACCTCGAGTTCGGGAGTAAGGAGGAATGTACATTCGGAATCCGAGGATTTGTGCTGCAAAAACAACATCAAACATGTCAGTAACAAACGCAGAATGCAAAAACGCGAAATGCAAAGGCGAAAAGCGGGTACCGAGAGCATCAACGTAGGTGCGGCCATTGGTGAATCTTCCGGTGCTTCCTTGGGGAAAGTCGATACCATAAGGACGGTAATTGGCTCTGGCAAGGGAAAGCAGCCTATTGTTGTTGCCGTTATCGACCAGTGAGTCTCCGAAGATGAAGAAACAGGGGACTTGTGTCTGTTGCTGAGACAGGACAACATCGAACCCACGAAGCAGCAGAAGAGCAAAACTCAACAACGAGGCGAAACCCGGAGAACCCATGATTTGTTTCTTTCTTCTGTTGAAAACAGTGTCGAGATCAGGAAGAATGAGTTGAAAAAGATTGAGACTTTACGGACAGATTTATACAGAGATGTGGTTGGTTTGTTGGTTGGTTGGTTATTGGTTTCATGCAGCGATCTGTGAGTTTCTTCTTCCTTTTTTTTGCTTTATTTTTTATTTTTTTTCTGTCATCTTTTGCAATGCGGCGATTCACAGAAGCCACATGCAATCTCTGAAGTTTCGGAGTCTAAATTTGCTTTCCAGTTGTTATGGTTTGCAACTTGCAAAAGAAGAAAGAAAGAAACAGAGCTCTTTTTTCCCGGGAAAACTCCTCTGTTCTTTGTAAAATGAATTGGGTTTCTTCCAATGTGTTTGGACATGAAATGGATCTTGTCGGTTCTGGTGTTTCAGTTTCTTGCTACGTTCTGAAAATGAAATGGTCTGAATTGAACCTGTATATTTGCAGAATTATTCATATTTTAACTTCATTCAATCAATGAATATAATTTCATATTAAACACGCACAAACACCCTGCATTTTTTTTTTGCATTTTTCTTAAAAGGATAAAATTTTTGGGTTTATCGTAGTTTTTCAGGTAAATTTTAGAAAGGAATAATTGCCCCACAAACAGAGACAAAGAACTGAGGTCGACCCATGAATGGAAATGAACAAAAAAAGGTTCGCATCGATGATTCAACATCGACAAAATGTGGTCTCGACGCGAACCCGCTGTCTTACTCAGTGGGTCTTCCATCTGTCTCTATGGCAAAGATGAATAGGCTATCGAGGACCATGCGATTGGAGATGATGCTTGAACCGAAGAATCTGATCCGGCGACAAGTTCATCCACCTTGTCTTGTTAGAATTTTTGCTTTTTAGGGTTCTTCGATTTCTGGGTCCATGGCAAGTTCGCATCTTGGAGCTTCTTCGTTGATTAATAGTACTTGGATGGCTCTGAGCTCCTCTGTGAAATTATGGGTCGGCTTCAGAGATAAGCGCTTCAGACGATATATGGTGGTTAAGGTTGAAACAATGGAGAAGAATTCTTCCTTGTCCTGTTTCGTTTTCTTTCTTCTCCTTTCTACGTTTTTCGCTTGATTTCTCTTGTTGTTGGGCTGTTTGGTGTTTGTGCAGAGACGAAGGTTTCGTGTTCGACAAATGTATAGGAAGGACCAGAGGAGCAAACGTGAGCTTGTTCGTTTGGTCAAAAGGTGAAGACTTTGTTCTCTTCTCTGTGTGAAATCGTGTTAAGGTTTCTGATTCAATGAAGAATTGTCGAACAATGTGCGGTTTATCTAATGCATGCAAGAATCAGAGTCCTGAGTAACACGCTTGAAAAACGTATAAGAAAAGATCGAACTTTACTTGAAATCTCAATGTCCCTGGAATCAATTTCCTCACTATCTGATAGATTCTTCAAAAGGGTTTGTAGCTTCATCAATAGATTTATCCTTAGACGCAAGACTATGTGTATTGAATGCTTAAGACGAAAGAACAGTCGGAACTTTCCTTGAAACAGCAGCAAATGTCTTGTAATTTGGTAAAGTTTCAGTGGATTATAGTCCCTCCGATGTTGCAGGAGCGAGTCTTTGAGACGGATTCTGAAGCAATATGGAGTTTCAGTAGATAACCTTGAAGAAACTAACGGAAGCAGTAGCCTTTCCAACCTTGCTTCTGACGAGCAGCCTACCCGTGTTCCTTCGTCCGTTTTAGGTGACTCCCAAATGGTATTGTCAAAGTGATTCTGCTTCTGTTTAAGTAAAACTGTCTTGGTGTTGACTGATGTTGATCATGCTGCCACTCTGATAATCCTGATGCGATTTGAGTCTTGCCCTTTATATCGAATATTGCTAGAGTGCAGTCGAGAAGTTGCCTGACTCGAGCCTAGAAGAGAATCACCATGAAAATGTGAATACCTCATGCAATTATTCAGGCCAAAACCTGCGTAGTTTCCCCCATGTAAGAACTCTTCTGTTTTGTCCCACTTCCTCGTCCAAGCCACTATTTGACTGTGAACCTGACAGAACAATGTGTGCAGTTAGAGACAGATACTGCAATCGCAATTCTGCTTCCGACAATTGCGTTCTGCATCGCATGCATACTCGGGGCATTCCGTGGAAAAATCTCCAGAAACCCGAAGGAGAATCCAGATGCAAAAACACCTCGAGATCATCATCCGGGATCCAAAAGAACAAGGTGGAGATCCGTTTTGGGTGACTGGAGTGAGCCACATACTGATGATGAACAAGAATCATCACAAGATCACAGGGTCAGCACTGAAGTTTAAAACTAAATACAAGGAACCCATCATTTGCTATTTTACCTAACCTGAAATGAACTTCTGTATGGGCTTTGGATTATGAAAAGCTGACCATTTCTTTCCATTTAATGCCAACTTTTCTTCTCTAATTCACAGTCGGTAGCTCTGTGCAGGTCACTTTGGGACAAGAGGAAAGTCCGGAAGAAGTGTCTGGAGGATACAGCAGAGTGGAACATGAGTACCAGAGGTTTCTGTCGGAATGTGGGATCACTGAGCATGGATATTGGCGTGGAGGTTCCTCCGAATAGTTTTCCAGCAATCTCAGAGGGTGTGATTAAAGCCATGTACATTGGACAAAGACAACTTCAATCTGAACTTTCTGCGCGGTTGGCGGTTGTATAGTTTTGTTATTGACAGTTGGTCAGTTGGTTGTATTTAGCAGTTGGCGGTTGGCAGTTGATTTTATTGGAACTGTATGAAGTTATGTACATAGGACAAGACAACTTCAATCTGAACTTTCTGCTGTTGGCGGTTGTATAGTTTTGTTATTGACAGTTGGTCAGTTAAGGGTTGGCGGCTGGCAGTTGATTGGATCTGTATGAAGCTAAGAGTGAAGACATTGTTTAACAATATCAACTTTAATTGTTCAAAAGAATAGATCTGTTTTGTAATATTAGTAAAACTTGTTGCTGTTTTCCTGTTACAACAGAAGCATTTCAGATTTCAGGATCTTGGACTGAAGAATGTAACATCAAGAGGATAAGGAAATTTCATTGAACTTGAGAAATCATAACAAACATCCTGACAACATTGTCGAAACCCTAATGAAAACAATCAAAGATACACTGGAGGTTTCATTCCCAAGGCCTCTCCTAGATGGTTGCTCTCAGCGAACCCGGCGAGCTTTCTCTTCCTGCCCCAACCCCAGAGATTTTTGAGCGTTTGCAATGCCTTCGGGATCTGGAGGAACAAAAGTTAAACCGTTAAGCCAGTTGCTGTGGTTGAGAGTTGGTTAAAAGTTCAGCCGTTTGATGCAATTTGCTGATTGGAAAAGCCACTGGCTATTGGAAGATGGTAAGGTGGTTGGACAAAATGCCGAGAACATCAAGAGTGCTATTCCTACTTTCATAAGGAATTTACAAGCATTTGAGCAACCAATTCTATCGAATAAACCTGATTCTACAAGAAAATCATACTCACCAAAGAACTGTGTGAAAATGCGGGTGAAGAAGCTCAAGTTGCGGGAGACATTGTATGCCATTGCAGGAGGAAGAGGCTTCACCAAAGTATCAATGGTGAACACTCTTTGAAGAAACTGTACCAGAGAGGGATGGAGTTTACAAGTTAGAAAAAGGCTTTCAACCAAACAAAACAGAATATACTTCCACAAAAGGCAAGACACACTAGGAAGGAAAAGTAAGTACTAAGCAATTGAATCTATACAAGCATGAAGAGAATGCATTAACATGTTAAGCTTCTGCCTAAAGTCTAAAGATTTGTCAGAGTTAGATGAAATTTGGGTCTCCTCAAATTTTGTTCCACTCATGAGACATCTAATATATGAGAAGTTGATAAAGAAGAGTGTACTATCTTCTATCTATGTATCACCCTGTAACGAAGGAACCAATGAACAAAACCATTTTCAATGAGCAAGACCCCCACAACTAAGTAATCGCTACAGCCAAGGCACTTTCTTCGACATGACAGTGACACCAAGAGCTTTCGAACCATTCTTTGAAGTCATAATTTGCATCATATCAGGAATTTTGACACTTACAAACTATACAGATTGGTCGGCACCAATCACGCGGAAATTCAAAAACAAACCCTAATTCCACACGGAAAACAGAGAGAGAGAGGGAGAGGAGGATATGAGAGGACCTGGTAGTTTCGCTGAAAGCTGTAGCGAAGCTCAGGATCAATTTCGAGGGAATCGTCATCGTTGGCGGCGGAGCCATCAGATCGGCGGCGAGGGACGTGCATGGTGGAAGTGCCACCGGATTCTCTAGTGACCTTGAGCTTCGCGTCGCTGAACTTGTCGGAATCATCGTCGTCGCCTCTCCACGGCGCTTTCGATAGCAGCTCCTTCTTCTTCGCCATTATCTCAGCCCAACAACACCAGTTTCACAACTTTCGTGTGCGTTGTGTGGGATAAGGCCGCAAGATCCTGTTTGGCTGTAGGATCATATCTGCTCTCGAGCGGAATAAGGATTTTTCATGTCACCTAATAAGCCCATCAAAAAGGCCTTATTATAGGCCCATGGACTAGTCATGGGCTTCGTTTTATTACTTGTTGGTCCTCCATAATATAAATTATAATTTATTTCCCACTCGAAAGTTTGTTTTTCTTTAAAACAAAAATATTATAGAAAAGAAAACGCGACACAACTACACAGGCGAAAACAAGCCGCCGCCGTCGGCGACTGCCACATCTGCCGGAAAATTCTCTCCGGTATCTGTGTGGAATGAACCGCCACATCCTCCTCTGTCTCGCCTAAGAGAATCGCCGGCGGTGGCTGCCGGAATCGGCCGGACAAAAGGGTCTTCCGGCGCGAGCTCGGTGGCTAGGGACTGTGAAGTGTCTGAGCCTTCCTTGCTGCTCTATCAAGTACCCTCGGCACAAGAAAGTCGCCGAGAACTCGTCCTCCACTGGTCGGTCCACGTCGTGCACGAAAACGTCCGTCTCGCCGCTTTCACGATTCCGAGCCATCAGACCTGCCGTGTAAATGGCGCTCATCCGCCCCGGCGCCTCGTTGTGGTAACCAGTTGGTGCATCGACCATTATCAGATCCCATTCGGTCTCGTATACGTCCGGAGGAAGGCCCTTTAGAGCGAGACCGCATTTCGAATCTCTCGGATCGGATACGGCTTTACAGTCATCGGTTTTGCCGAGTTCCATGAGTTTGTCGGAATCTTTCACTTTCGTATCGTAGACGACGTGGTAAGATTCTAATTTTGGAAACTTATGTGTCACGGTTTCGATCCAAGACTTGTCTTCCTCGAGGAACACTGCGTTGTACGAGCTTCATCAAATACCGTTTTCAAACAGGAAAAGATGAAGGAAATTGTAGAACAAGAAGATTTTCTTTGTTTTTCTTACAAGTTCGGCCACCATGATTGAGCGAAGCCCACATCAAGCTGTCGTGGCCTAAGCCAAATACGAGGAAGTTACAAGGGGACTTCTTGTCCAAGACTCTCTTCGATACAGAGACTTCGTCGAATGTTTGTTGTGGAGTGATGTTTGTGGTCACATAGTGAACCAATGCGTCGGCCAAAGAAGCTGGCAATTTCGTGCAGGTCGGAAGCATAGTGGTTGATGGACATTTGGGTTTTGTTTGATTTTCATCTTCCCCACGAATGGTTGAATTGGAGAGATGGGTAGTGGAGAACGTGCTTGAAGAGGAAGAAATGCTGGTTCTTGTCAAGAAGAGGATGAGTAAGACCAAGACCGAGCAACAGATGAAGACAAGCTTCAGATTGATGGAGGATTGGATCTTGGACCTCATTCCTTCAGTTTGATCAAGTTCCGATTTTTCTTTCTGGGTTTTTCTCTCTGATCTCGTCTTGTCTTTTCGATAGGCTATCAAGTTTTGATTTTTATTTGTGGGTTCAGATTTGGAAGAAGCAGGAACAGAGAATTAGAAAGAGATGGGGTGACAATCGCGTAGAACATATATATATAGGGAGAGAGAGAGAGAGGAATCTTGTGAGTTTCTTCTTTCCAGAGTCTTTTAAGGAAAAAGAAGAAGAATGATTGAAAAGTTGAGGGAGAAATTAGAGCTACTAAGGTTGCTGTTGATGCAACACATCAGAAGTTGGCAGGGGATCAGTTGATGTCTCTGATGGATTACTATGCTCTGTTTCATATTTCTACTAATTATACGTGTATATATATACGTGTGTATTGCAATTGAGTGTATCTATGTGTATATTAAATGTAATGGGAAGACATGTTAACAAATCTGATGCTTGAAAAGGAGGAATCAACGGCAATACGCAAGACAGATGTTGACAAAACCAGCATGGTGGTTACAACCTCTCCCTTTTTTCTATTGACCTTAAAGTACTCTCTCTCTCCCCTTGACTCTTTTTATGAAAAAGAACAGTTCTTTTCCTTGTAATAAACAGCAACCACTTTCTAGGTGGAGAGAGTTTCAAGGTCTGCTGATTCATGAAAGAATGGCTGGCAACAAAGCAAGGGAAGACGCAGCAGCAGCAGTAGAAAAATGATTTGGTAAGAAACTAAGACAAGTGATGTGGCCCTAATCATTTTGTGCCAACTGTACTAATGACAGTAGAAATATCATTACAAAACACAACTAATTGGTTTAATCTCCAATTGTTATTTTTTTTTCCTGAATGCAAATCATTTCAATTCCTTACCAAATTGTATGTATCAAAGCTTATGCGTTACTTTTCACACTAATACATGAAGCAATCAAATACAATCATGTGCATGGTGCAACATGGAACATTGTCTTTTGAAACATAGAAAACCCTTCAGGCTGAATGCTTCAGCCAGTGATGGGCACAATCCTATTCCTGTTCCAGAGACTGGGTTTTGTCCTAGTTGCCACAGAGAAGCTGTCTACTGTGTCAGAACCGTTTGACAGAAGAAGTCATGCCAGGTCTAGGCTATGGTGCTCCAAACAACTAGGAAGAAGCTGCAGCGCTTGTAAAGAAAGGAATGCTCGAGCCACATGACTTCAGAACTTTGTCTTGGTCACTCTGGTTCAGGTCAGAGAGAAACTTGAATCAGATTACTGGTATGTCTCCCCTTGTAGCTCAGATTTAATCTGTGAACCTTCTGAAAATTTTTGTGAGGAGATTCTGCAGGGTTATGCAGAACAGATGTGTCTTTGTCAAGCCAAAGGTACAGCTTGGTTACCTGGCTTGTGATGTGTTAGTAAGCACCTATGGTAGTGTAGAAAAAGATTTGTTGTCTGAAATCCTCCTATGTTCTGCAGTTAACGGGTCTCAAAAGCTTTGTCTATAGATTTACTTGCAGAACTACAGAACAATTGCTACATATACACATCCCCAACCCCAAGAAAAAAGAGCACGCATACACAAACATACACACACAGAGGAAACATGAATTGACAATGTACAATGATCATCTAACAAATTATCACAATTGGCACAACGCCAATTCAATCTCGTGCTCAACGTACTGGAAGAACACTAGCTATAGCACAAGAGATCTATGGCGGATCTCCGGCCTTTCAGTTCAGGTAATAGATAGAAGAGCTAAGAATCAAGATCGATGGTGGATCTTTGCTCTTTCAGTTCAGGAAATGCTTTTTCGGCCCTCGGGTGCCTCGTCAATGGTGGATCCGAGGGTCAATCCTCGTTCTTGTTTCATTTTCATACCTTCCAAAGCTTTCAGCTTTATCTGCCATTGTAATACACCTGGTGCGCCATATCTTTGTTGTTCTTCGTTCCAGATTTCTCAAGGCGAGATTTCCGTACAGCCTGTTGGATTTGCCTCTCATGTTCTTTCAGAATGTCTTCGATGTTCCCGCCGGGAGGCATCAAGGGACCCGAGCAGTGAATTCTGTTCTTCTTACGCACATAAGTCTGAAACCACATAAAGAATCCACGATATATTATCAAAACGTAAAATACAAGGATTAAACTCTGGAATCATCTAAGTTTCTAATGTTTTTTACCATCGTTGATTCTCCGCAGGCTGTGTCGTTCTTACGTAAAGAGCCAGAAAAGTTGCTCCCTTCAACGGGAACATTGCTAGATCGAGTAGCCTTCAGCTCCACAGTGCTGTTTCTGGAGCTCCCGTTCTTATTCCATGACGCTGCTACGACAGGATGAACCATTGAACTGGAATGAGAAAAGCCCTTCTGTGCACCGCTTCTGCCCGGATCTACACTTAAGCCGGTTCTATTAATCCCTTGAGGATTGTTCCTCTGGCCGTTGATTGTGACTTTTGATTGCCCAGAAGGAATGAACTCTGGTGTTGCAACATTCTTGACGTCTCTTGAACCTCTGCTAACAGATTCATGTCCACGCCCCTTTGCGGCATCAGCCCGTTTCCTGAATTGCAGAGAAAGTGTGTTAAGGAACTTGGCTGATTCCTTCATGATTGTATAGTAGAAGAATGATGGGTTTAAAGATCTCGGTCGTGTACCTTCTTGCTTCTTCTCGGACCTTAGCATCGAGTTCCTTGCTCGGGGGATACCTCGGCAAACTTGATATATCACAAGGGAGTGGCTCCATGGTGAAAAACTACAGAGATAGATATATACAGGTATTTGAAGCAACATGACAGGAAGCAATTCAGGAAAGTTAATAGATAAAAATCTGAGGTTACCTCACTCGACAGCACCGAAGAAGCTGAGCCCCGAGTCTCTGGTTCCATAGCTAGAAGCTTGTCAATGAGAGCTAATGCAGAAGATGGGAAATTCTTGAACGTCTCTAGAAGGGCACGCTTGTAAGGATGTTGCGGTTTGAAACTTGTTGCGAGTGGCAACTTTGTCTTTTGCCAGTAGCCTTCAGACGGTGAACCACAAAGCTTAAAGATCTTATGCATTTGCTCCACCTGACAAGATTTTCTCAGACACATCAGTTGAAGACATTCACTTGAATTGTAATCTCCAACTAATCTCTTACCTCTGTTCTTCCTGGCATGATTGGTTTCCCAGCAAACAGTTCTGCAAGAATGCAACCAACGCTCCACAGATCTATGGCGGCTCCATACTCTGTAGCACCCAGTAAAAGCTCAGGGGCTCTGTACCACAACGTCACCACACGGCTTGTCAGAGGCTGATCTTGATCAGGGTGGTAGAAATTCGCCAGACCAAAATCTCCGATCTTTAGGACACCGTCCTTATTTATCAGAAGATTTGAACCCTTGATGTCACGGTGGAGTATACCACGGCTATGGCAATGCTCAAGCCCACGAAGCATTTGTCTGATTAAACATTTGATCTAACAGAAACAGTGGAAGAACAAACAGTTTAGCATTTTTCAAGAATTCCACGAAAGATTGGTTTAGCTATGAGCATGAACTTCTGCCATACCTGTGGTTCAGTGAACTTTATGCCAGGTCTTGCAGCGAGTCCAGCCAGGTCATGCTCCATGTACTCAAAGACGAGATACAAGCTGCCGGAAAGTTTTGAAGTCACGAGACACTCGAGCTTCATGACATTGGGGTGGTTGAGCTGACGCTGAATATGGATTTCCCTGGCCATGAAACGGACGCTTTCTGGGTCCATATTGACGAATCGGACCTTCTTCATGGCTACTGTCTTGCCTGTCTCGAGGTCCCGAGCTCTGTACACACTGCTGTAAGTACCTTGTCCAATCTGCAGACACAGCTTTAGTGTTATGATTCACAACCAAGCTTGCAAGGACAGCCAACAACAAGGCAGTGGAAGATCTAAGATGCCATTCAGACGGTGCGCTATTCAGATGAAATTAAGAATCTGCTTAAAGGAAACAAAAATGGGGAAGAAACTAACTTTTTCAAGCATCTCGAAGGATTCTGCACATCTTGGAACCCAACCCTTGATGGCTTCTCCAGCAACAGAGACTAACCAAGAAGGCCATCCGGCTGCAACAAGCTCAGCCTCAGGCCCGTGTGGAATGCTCGAGATATTATTACTCGGCTGATACGGTTGTAGCCCTCCTCCTATGCCAATATCTGCAGTCGGCCATCTCCTATGAGATCTGGACGGTCTCTCAACAATCACGGTTTTACCATCACTATCATCTACAGGGACAACCAGCCGGCTCGTTCTACTGGATGAATGGTGCGCTGATCCTTCTGTTCTACGACCACCAGAACTACCCTCTACTGTTTTGTCCGGAAACTCGTCTTTCTTGGAGGCCACTGGTGCAACCAATTGAACCGAGGATGTTTTGTTTGATCCATTGTTCTTCTCATGCTGATCATAAAGGTGTTCTTCTGCAGTCCCTTTTGAGCAAATACAACCCATACCAAATCCGTTTTCTTGTGCACAAACTTGGTGGCCTGATCTTAAGCGTACACAAGTTTCTCCCTTTACATCAAGAACTGTCTAACCTGATTGATCCCCAAGCGTTCTACCCAGGAATCTCAGGTTCCATCACCCGAAATTCAGGGGATGATTGAGATATAACCCTTTTTTTCGTTTACGCAATTTTCTGCATCTGGGTTTTCTTCAAATCAAATGAACCTGAGATCTTTTGTATATCTGAAGGCAGATGAATCCAAGGGCTTGGGTTTGATCTCAGAAACTAAAGCTCTTCTCGTCCCCCCACCTAAAGTTTGTAAATTTCCAGAAGGATTTTGGTGATGGAAGAAAAGTAATGTGATGATATCACCATGCGACTGTGGGAAACCCAGAAATCAAAACCTCGAAGGCTAACACAATACCCAAACTCAGAAATCCTAAAACAAAGGGAAATGAAAGAGACGACGCTGTGATTCAACGAGACCCAGTTCAAGAAATCGCATCACAAACAGGAAAACTCTGAAAAATCAGAAGAGAATCTACGGTTCACAAGAAAGAGGCATAATCACGAGAATGTTACAAAAGTTCACCACTTTTCGTTATTTCACTGCAAGATGGGAATCGCTTCAGCTGCAATTCGTCGGTAATGCAAAACCCAGGAAAAAAAATTAACAGAAAATTGTTCAGAAGATGGAAATTAGCGTCAGGGGAGAGAGGGGAGATATTTTTTTGTGAAGCGAGAAAACAGAAGAACCGTAGATTCTATTGGACAAGACAACTCAAAATGGCTGCTCTGTTTTGGATACAAATAGAAAACAGAGTGGATAATATCGAGAGGATACCTCGGAGAACCGTTGTCTCCGGCGCCGGCAAACTCAGGGAGCCTAAACAACGGTTAGAAGAAAGGCAACACGGAAAAGGGCAAACTAAAACACACGAATCCAAATACGTGGGTGGGACATCTAAGGACGGACAATGTCCCACGTAGGATCTGCTGTCAGAGAACGTGGCTCCCACTAAACGGAGAGGATGAATTTGAGCATTTAATGTGTACTATTTCATACATAAAAAACAGGAATGAAATCGATTCTATTCGATGAATCTGATCCAATTCTTCTAAAAAAAATTTGATTGGTCCTGAACAAGATTACGACTTTAGTTTCCGGTCAAAGATTATCGGACAGAACAAGGTTACGACTTTAGTTTCTTGAAACTCAATTAAACATGTCTTTATAACTCGAGATGAAAGAGACGTGTGAGCAAAGGCGGTGGCTCTGCAACGGACCCTGCACGCAACCATGGTGTACTTCAAAACACCATTTTTTTTTTCTTTTCTTCCTCGCTTTAGCTCTCTCTTGTTCATCCTCTTACCAACTTATTCGTATTTCTAAACCTCGATTCGATCGCTAATCTCAAAATCTGATCTCTTCCTCGTCCCCAGAAGAACAAAGAACAATGAACTTGATGGCACCGCCGACGACGATGGTAACCGGACCGATGGAGAATTCCTGGAAGAGACGCGTACGTTAGGTTCCCGCCTCGGTTCGCTGACTGAATGCAAACCCAAATGGATGAGGAAATTGTTTCACTGGCCACTTGCAAAAACATCTATTTCGCAATCTCTGCCTGATTCTAGCAGTTGAAGAGATCATGTTACTGAATTGAGATCTATCTCGAAGAAGATGTATACATAAGCTTGGGCAGATCTTACATGAACATGAACATGAACACGCACCTAAACAGTTTCGAAACGATTTCGAATATAAGAAAATTGACATTGGACACCGTGTTTGTTCATCTTGATAAGTAAAAGATTAACATACCACTATGAGACTTTGATGGCTCATGTCTTTAAGATCTGAACATACAACTATGTATACGATAATATCACAAGCTACTACTATACGGACACCGCAAACAAATCGGGTCTCTTGTCTTTGTCAGAACACACGACAGTTTCTCACCTAAACCACTCAACAGATGTACGAAGCAAAATCGCTTAGGCCCTGAGGCTGAGTCCCTGGAAAGAAGACGACAAGATTCTGAACAGCCCATCAGGATTATCCGTGTGTACCTGAAGATACAAACAGTAAGAATCGATCAACATCAGTAGAGAAACCATAGATGACTCCAGCGAGAGAGAGAGGGATGGATATTACCCAGTGACCAGCATCTTCCAGGACATGCATTTCTACGCCACCACCTTCCTCGGTAGCCAGCTCTTCCGCGGCATGTATCCGTCGAATGTCTTCCAGTGCCCACCGGTGCAAGCTTCTCTCCGCTTTCAGAAAGTTTAAATGCACTCCACGGGGCAAATTCTCGACAAAGTCCCTTTTTTTCACGTTAAAATAGCATCCCGAGAGTGAGCAGTTAGGCTCTCAGAACTTGTTTTTTCGGCCTCTGAAAACGTAGAAGAGGTAGCAGAACTAGATTACCATAGATTCGTGTCCTCGTAGGATTGATACAGTTCAGCAATCCCGTCGAGGTTAAATACCCACGAGTAGCTTGAAGACGACGGTCCATTCGACCGGAGATTGGTTACGACCCACTGCAACAGCACACACAATCATGAAAAATCCATGTTATGGCACGAACCCGTAGAGACAGAATGAATTTCAAACCTGCGCAACGTCGTTGGAAAACCCTTCTCCAAGAAGAGCGTTGGCAACCTCGCGCTTTGACGAGACCTTTAAGTAAAAGATGAAGATGTTCGTAAGTATCAAGAAGCTTTTCTTTCTCAGTTCGACTCTTCTATACCGACCTAGTACAGTTAGTAACTCGTGAAAAATTTAAAAAGAGCGCAACTTTTTTTTAAGAACTTGCCAGTTGGGATTTCGTATGATACTGAGGATGAAAAACGAAAAAAGCCCGGAACTTACTACTTTTGGCAATGTACGTAGAAATGATATTAGCTCTCGTGGATGGTCCTCTCCATCTCCTCCTGCCCGCACTTTTCCGGGAGTAGCATCCAAAACCCAAGCCTGCGAGGAAAAGGCGGTTGAGTTAATACAAGCAAAAAATCCTAGCACAGGTGATTGTGATATTCACGTCGGTAAAGAATCTTTACTCGGACAGGACGTGCAAGAGGCTTAGCTGCCTGTTCCACCATGCTTAATACAACTGAAAATACCACAGAAAAGGCTGCTCGGTAACATAGTCACAATGAACAGATTTGGAAAAGGCACTTTATGTTGATAAAGAGAAGTAACCTTTCCCTCCAAAGCTGTGACCGACAAGGACCCGAGGCGTTAACCTTAACTGTCCAACCTAAGAAAGATGGAAGCGGTCAAGGTTTGTGCTACGAAGTAATTGAATAGTATGTGGTCAGAGGTGCGTACAAGTCTAAGAACATCAGAAGCAGTTGTAGCAACAGAGTTTGGAGCTTTCTTCTTGATAGATGCCGAATCTCCATGGCAGCGAAGATCAACCAAGAGAAACTGCAAGCATCCGATTACGAGGAAGAGGATTATTGTAGAGTCAAGAGAGTGTTGTCTAAACAGGTTTAGTTCATTTCATTTTATAGCCTAGCAAAGTACCTGCCACGACGGGAATTCTTGAGCCAATCTTCGGGCAAAAGTGCCTGGAGACGCATAAATATTTAAGCTCGGGTACAGCACAATGTTTCCGAAGAGTACACAAAAAAACTCAAAGCTTGAAAACCCCATGAAAAGAATACTGACAAGGCAATAGACCTTCTCCGTATAATGAATTAACCATCAATATCAATCAAGGAGATATGAGCCTACTGTCCTTCAATATGAATACAAAGTTCATCATTCTTTATTCTTTAACCAGTTCGACAATACATTTACAATTTTACGACACTTACCCCAGTTTTTCCTGCTACCCAAAATGCCGTGTAGAAGAACGGCGGTTGGTGTATCGGGTGCAGACTTGTCCTGCATCCATCTCCATTTGACCTGTGAGCCAAAATTATATCATTGCACAAAGCAATCTCTACGAGATCTCGTCCTATGATTCACAAGGAATCTTTTCAGATTCCAAAAGTTCAGCACTGGCACAGAGCAAGCAGAAAAAAAAAAGTTGTGGTTTCATTATTTCTCTTGAAAGTTGAAACGAAAGTATCAAAACCGGAAATATCAGTGCCCATTTGGTGGAGATATTTAAACAATCCAGAACGTGAGAGGACTTACAAGTGGGCCTTGAACAAGATCATATGCCTGCAAGAAAAATGACACATTATAATCAGTTATTGCAGGGCAAACCTTCACATAGTATCAGGAATCTATTACAGTAACACCAGACATATAACCAGTGATTTCATCGTATCAAAAATAAAGCATCAAACTTTTTTGTGCTAAACGCATTCAGAGAAGGAAACAAGTTCTGAAATCACAGCATTACCAGAATCTGAGGAGGGTCAGAGACATCTCTGGTCGGTGCCTGCCTCTCGTCTACCAATGTCATACAGATGCTTGTCCTTTTCACATTTCTGCCTCCATGGACCAATGCCAGACGAGGCACGCAGAATCTATCAGTCTGCGACATCGGCAACCCAATAGAAAGCGATAAGGCCCTTTCGGTCACGACAAATGACATAAGGAAAGCTTCGATGCGAATTTCAGATACCAAGAAGCAATATTCTCTCCTTTAAGCAATTAAATGGTTAATTTTTCACAATTCATACGATCAGGAAGGAAACGAAAAACCAAAGGCTATGGAGATGCAGGAAATCGAACAAACCTCGGAAAGTTTCCGAATTCTAACTAAATTGACGGAATGTGATGCGGGTAAAGCTGAAGTCTTCAATTGGGACCGGAATCCACAACCGCCGCCGCCGGAGCTAGCCGTGGAACACGAGACCGACGCCATTTCAACAGGATTGATCGATTCGAGAGTCCAAATGAAAAAGTCGAATTGGCAAAACCCAGATCAAGAGAACCGCGAGGAACACAGAGAACGAAAACGCTCTGCGGAAAGGCCCAGAAAGCGAGAAGGAGAAAACCAGTGGGGAGACGGAGAAGAAGAAAGAAGCAGAGGCGGAGAAACCGAAGCCTCACCTACCTCTCTCTCTCTCCCCTTGCTTTCTCCTCCGCCGTCAGTTCGTTTCCTTGGGGAATCTGTGCGCAACATCGGTGGAAGAGGAAATGACAGGAATACCCCTTGTCCGATTAGAGTCCACGTGCTATTTGACAAGTGGACGTGGTCGGTCCAAGCAGCTCATCTAACGCATAGGCATAGCTGTCTTTTGCTAGACAAAAGGCCCAAGCAAGTGCGTGACTTGTGCATGTCGTCACGTGAGCGTCAACTCATGGCTCGGTCGTGCCATGTGTGCGCGTCTTCAAACCGCCGGAAAATTGAACGCCAGCTAAACGCGTACCGCGTTATGGTTTAGCCTTTGTGGCTAGGCAGGCACAGAGTCACGAACGCTAAAACCACAAGTCCAGGACGCCAATTGCTCTTGTTTGGAAGAGTTTGCGTTAGTGATTCCCAACACAATCAACGCGATTGCAAATTTCGCGTTATATTATTAAAGATTAGCCGTGGATAGTATATCTCCTTTTCAATTTTTTTTTTTATTTTGTTGGAAATGTGGAACTATTGTCTTCATTATTATTCAACAATTTATTTACTAAAACATTAAAATATAGTTCAAGAAATCATTCATTATATGCAAAAGCACTTCATATAAAAAAACAAGTTTTATATTTTTCGACTTATTATTAAATCCCTTCAAGCATACTCATACGTCAATATTCTATAATTATATATGTCCACATTTATATGTTATATTATTGGAAATTTTGATTGTATTATAATATAATATAGGTACTAAAAATTAGGGCGGATACCTGAAATGAATGAACAGAATATGTTTTGTGTATGTGTAAAAGTTGAGCTCGTGACTTAATTATTTCTTAAGATTACTCGTTTGCATTATTATTGGATATCGATTTTTACATGATCTTGGTCCGTTAGGCAAGACAACTCTATTAAAACCGACTCAAGACGTGAAGGAATCTGTATTCTAACTATGTCTTTTGATTGAACTAATTCGATATATTATTAATATACTTATAGACCCTTCGGAGCCTGATGTAGTGGTTAAAGGATCCATGATTCTCCAAAAGGTCATGGGTTCGATTCCACTTTCCAGTAAGTCTGTCACTCTTTGGGTGGTTTATCTGTTCCACGTGGTTTGTAGGCTATATTACGTGGAACCGGAGGGTTTATCACCGCGCCAGAAGGTCTGTAGTTGGGTTCCACCGTTACCCAAAAAAATATACTTATACATGTCATATTTTGTGACTATTATATACACTTTCTACGATTATGCACGTGTATACATAATGTCGGGCGTGTATTGTTGACTACGTTGGACCACGGTCCCTTTGTCTTGGCCCCAACGAGGGCAAAGGGGTTATTCCAAAAAATGGCTGAACCGGATTCTATAAACTCTGTAATTATTATTTTTTCAGTTAAGTCTAATTTCATGGATTTGATATCGATGATGAAATCTTCTTGTAATGCATTGCCTCGTAGATTATCCAAAATGCCATGGTCAGTCAGTGGCGGACGAAGGGGCAATCATACTAATATATAATTACAGAAAGTTTTATATAAGAATAAATTTAATTTTAGTGGGGCATTTAATAATTTTATCTAAAATTCATACAGATTTTATAAAGAAATTAAAAGTTTTAATTAATCAAGTGGGGACATGTGGGGACTCTTATATATATGGATCCGACCTTATCGTACATATTTAACATGTTTTTTATAATCCGAAAATTTATAGTACATTTAACCCAATTATATTTCTTAAAAGATTGGAGAAATTAATCTGGATATTCCTCAAGTGGAGACTCGGATGCATTTAACATGTTATTTTATTTGGAACGTAATGTGGCTTCCATTTAATAGGCTCTTACAGCATTTGTGAAAACCTTATATGATCAAATTGTCAAACAATTATAGTATTTAATTTAGGGTAATATTTCCAAACATTGACCCTATTAATTAAGTTATTGTAGATGAAAAGGATAGCATAAACTAGCAAAAGAGTCCAGCTAAAATGCTTTATATAACTAAAACAATTTATTGAATTTAACTTCTCTTGCATTTTGGTAAGAGATAAAGTGATGTTGAGAATGTTTGGATTCACAAAATCACAAATCATCTCTTGTATTGACCATAGAGTTTATCTTGAATATATAAAATAACGTGAAAAGATGAAAATATCTTTAATATTTAATAAAATTATGGAAACACGACACTTGTAGCATAATCCTATAACGTTTAAATCCCAATTGATAATCTCAGACTTTCGAATTAGGAATCGGTGCCTACTCCTAGTTAAATACCTCCTATATATATATATATATAATATATTATTAATTATAGGTAAAGAGTATCTCTCTCCCCACCTTTCATGATTAGTAAGTGTGCGTGTGTATATATAATATATAGTTTGAGTATAAAGAATAATACAATGAAGAAGAAGGCATCGAGAATCCTCTATTATTAAGCTCGAAAGTCTTTGGTCGGGATTCGGACGGCATTGAGAATCCTCTATTGCCCCCACCCGGGATGTTCTTAACCAATAGGCAATCGCTATACAAGATTTAGGTGTTATAAATAAATTAACTTTGTGTTATTAATTAATTAATTAATTTACATTTTTATATTTTGTAATTAAATACATACACTTGTCTGGAAACCGGGATCAGTACATTGGAGTTTTAGTCAGCGATTGAACTTAATATATCATCTGTCAATATGAAAAAATTATTTTTCAGCGAAGACTATGTACAAACTATGGAATTAACCAATAAAATCAGCTTTTATTAATTCAACCATATCCAATTTCGATTCATAAACATTTTGGGTTGGTAAACGATGATCTTCATTAAATAATAATAAAACCATAGTTTATCGGTCCAAAAAACGCATAAGCTCTTTAATCATTAATCCCAAATCGACTGAAGCTGCATCTCAACGTAGTCTTCTCTGTCGTAACCAAAAAACTGTCCGTACGGCTCTTCTTCATCGTTCACGTGGACCGAGTCCAAGCCCATGCACCACATCTTCGGCGAATCCAACGGAAACTCATTTATCGCCTGAATCTGAGCATCCGACAGCCCAACCCGAACCGGTCCAAGACCCGAACAAAGCCCGGTCTCGTCCGTAACCGGACTCGTACCCGGAAACCGACCGGACTTCACCATCATTGCGGCAGCCTGAGCAGCGGCCTGAACGTGCTCAGCGGCAGAACTCTCCGGCCGGGGAAGACTTCCGGCGAGATCAGGGAAGTTGAGGTGGGGCCCTTGGCCACGGAGGTGGACCGCCGCAGCGTCGTAGGCGGCCGCCGCCATCTCGGCCGTGTCATAGCTGCCGAGCCAAATCCGTGTTTTCTTGCCAGGTTCTCTGATCTCCGAGACCCACTTGCCCCATTTTCTTCTGCGCACGCCTCTGTAGGATACTTGGTCAACTGTGAAGCTCTGAACTTGTTGACCAGCGTGACAGTTCTCCATCAAGCTTTTAGAATAATACGTGGCTCTTTGTAAATAATATAATGGCTCGATCGATTAGTATATGGTACTGATCAATTGAATGTGGTCCGTGCATATAAGCGAATATGCGGTTATATAGAGTGAAGAAAGATAGGTTGTAATAGGAATTTGTGGGGATCACTCGGAACTGTGGTCGGATAGACCATGAGGAGGAGTGAGCTTCCACGTAGTTACGTATGGAGTGGGTATATGCTGTCATGCATGCATGGGGCTTAATTTTTTTCCTTCTTCTTACGTCGTCATGTTACATTAATTATAATTACGTAATAATGCATATGATTTGCGTTTAATTAATTTTCAGGGAATAATAAAGTTATCGGACTAGCCAAAAAAATGTCGACAAACATTTTGCATAGATTTCATATATTAATCGATCAACGTTCTAACATATAGCAATATGAAAATTTTATACTAACTACACAATTCTTCAAGTGTGAATGCGAAAAAAACTCAGGGTTTATACAGTATTGTGATAGATAAATCCACTTCATTTTCAAATGAGAAATACATTAAAAAAACAATTAAATATAGTAACTACCCAAAGACCATAGCGATTGACAAAAACTTTGTTTCTGATGTCTTGTCATAGATTCATGATTTATTTTATTTGAACAAAACCCGGAAATAAATTCACCCGAAATAAATGTACAGCGGAAGATGGCCTGTCACCCATTAAGGTTTAATATATACCGATGTTAATAATAATAATAATAATCAAAGCCCTAAAGTGCTCAAGGAGTATTACTCTCGCCAACACGGAGTCTGGTTACGTGGTGGTATGGTCGCCACCGTCACGTGATTGCGACGCCGTACTGAGTCGGTACGGATCCTTCCCGTGTGTCCCCACCCGGCGGTCAAAGGTCTCCGTATCGGCACGTGCTTTTTCTTTTGTCACCGCCCCTTTCCAATTTTTCTTTATTATTCGCTTTCTTTCATGTTCCCTATTACATAATGCGCCACACCAATTAAATCCGGTAGTTAGAATTAGCAAGTGATTTTGACACTCAAATATCTATATATATATATATATATATAGATCGTTTGGCAAACACCATTGTGATATCGATTATTACGACGATGAGAAGGAGATTTTATAAATGGACACATAATTCATTTGAAAATATGGTAAAAAGAATAAAAAAATAAAAATTGCAAATAGAAAAATAATTAAGTCATATGAATAAGCAGCAGTCGTAACTTGTAAATTCGTATAATTGTTCGTCTCGAAGAAAAAAATGGTTCCATGCATTTATTTTCCGTTTTATATGTGGATAGAACACCTTTAAATACAAGAACGCAGAAAAAAATATATCCGATTTTAAAAACTGTTGATGTGATACGGGTTTTTAACATTATATGTCCACGATTTTTAACGGGCGTTAATTGTTTTATATTTCCCTCATACATGGTAACATGGGGAATGAATTTAGAAAAAATACACAATTTAATGTACTATTTTTTTTATAAGATCTCAGTTTATATATTTATAAAATATAGATTCATTCAATATATTTGTTTTTTAATTTTCGGATGAGATTGTGTGTACTAAAGCAGTTTTTAACATATGTAAATTAATGTATATGCCTTTTCTTTTAAATTGTTCTTACGAGATCTCAAGCAGTATGGGCCTTACATTCCATACGCATTCGACAAGTAAGCCCATAGTGAAGCCCATCTAAAAAAAGCCCAACCGACTCGGAACGAGCCACTAAAAAGAGGACACGTGGAGGTAGAGAAAAGAGTGCCTTGTGGTTCGCCCGCGCCGCCTCTTATTCTCCCCCCCCCCCTCTTTTAACACAC